GTCCATTGACTGGGAAAACACTCCAGTCCAAATAAACACATCACACAGTTTATTGTGTGCATCTATAGATCAATTTAGAATGCGATACATAAATAATACATTCAAGTCAGTCTTGTGATTTTATATAAATAGCATGGTAAAATCTATTGGAAATAACAGAAGGGTCTGGTCCCTTGCATAATTTGGATTCTCATTTCAGTGCCACAAGTATCCTCAAGAAAACTGCTTAAACTCCCTGAGTTTCAGTTTCTTTATCTATATAATAGGAAGCCTGGACTGGGTCTCCAAGTTTTCTTGGGTTCTAATGTTCTATAACCGTGCTAACATCTTTGGAAGAATATCAATTATTTAATAAAAGTACCCAGTCATCTTAAAGAAACATCATTCATCATTTGCTTAGAAAAAAAGAATGTCTGCCAGAGCTAAAACTTGTTAGTTCTAGAACCATAGCAGTGATATTTATACTGATGTTTTTCTTTCAACCGATGCTGTGTGTCATCAGAATCAAAACCTATTGGACTAACAGTTCCACAGTTCTAATGGTTTTCTAATTCTAACCTGACATTGGGGCTTTTAACTATGAATAGCCTTGTGGCATTCTGCATGAATTCTTGCCATATATTCTAAAGGCTGACATTTCTATTATGCTTAAATTTGATCTCAGGTTTCTTACCTTTTCAGTTTACTCAAAATTGCTTTTCTTAAAGGTCGATATTTGTTACATCACACTTAGCTTTCACCTATCACTTCAAAAGTTCTTTGAATATGATATTGTTCCTATATAATTTTCAAAGTAGAAAAAAAAGAACCAAAGAGAAAAACAATAGTACAGGCAGAACATAAGAAAGGAGCAGAAATGGCAAAAAATATTCAAGTCAGCTGGAAAAAGTTGAAACACATATTTTTCTGTTGAAATTTCATTTCATGACACTGGCCCAGTTGAAATTTGCCTGACTCTTTGTAGTATTCCTGTGGTTCCCTGAGAGGAGAACTGCAAAAGTTTGGAAAGACAGAAAATAAATGGCAATTTGCAAATCTCATTGGTCAGACGACTTCTAAACCAGGGAGGACATCAGTTCTGCTTTGCTGTCTTAGAAACAGACCACAGGTGCAGACTTCTGGGTTATCCACACTTCCACCCCCACAGCACCCCTCCACAGGCAGAGACACATACAAAATAGGGTTGTCCATACCTCCTTCTCACAGTGAGGTCTGAAGTTCCCAAAATGTCTGTAGGGATGTCACCAAGCTCAAAATGTTTCCATAATAATTTTAAGATGTCATTTACCTTTGTTACTCTCATTTGTTTGTGAACATAGAGTTTCTCAAAGTTGCATGACTTGCACTGTTGCAAAACATTTAATGTAAAAAAAAGATAAGAAACTTTAGTCTTTCTATTGAGCTGGATATTGAAGAGATGTACAAAACTGTAAAGCAGCATCACTTGTCCCTAAATATTCCCTTTGTTTCTTGAAAATACGGCTATTTTTCATAGAAATACAGTGTTTTGGTTAGCACAAAATGGGTCTATTAAGGTTATTTTGAATGAATGAATATTTCTTAAATATCTTGATTTTATTTCTGACAATGCAACCCATATAAACAAAACTCTTTCTAGTCTTCAATAATTTTTAAACATTTAAAAATCACTGTTAGTGATAATTCAGTGACTAGCGACCAGTTAGCTTTTCTCTCCATTTGAGCTACAATTACTTGAACACTTGGCCATCTTCTCCTGAGCCATATAGGCATGGCCATTTCAACAGAATTCTTTGCTGGAACCCAAACCTTGTATTCACCTTATTGATAAAATATGGTGTCACTATTTTGTTGAAAATCTTTCTCAAAATGTTTATCCTGATGCTTTCGTTTTACTTAATCTTTTCACCTTGTGAGTTTTAGTCAGATGTTCTAAATTGTATTGATTCTTAGTCTTAGTCCTCAAGGAGTCTTTTTTCTTTACCTTTGTCTCTCAATATTCTTACTAGACAATGGGCTGAGTTCAAGTTTTAGGTAATACCTTAATGATTACTGTACAGGGTTATATTTATTGGAGTTATGCAATCTTCTCCTTAATACCAGGGAATCAAGAGGTACCCCAATTAAGAGGTCAAGGGCCTGAGGACATAGTTCAGTACTACAAGTACCTGCCTAACAAACGTAATATTGTGAGTTCAATCCCCAGTACCAAAAAAAAAAAAAAAAAAAAAAAAAAAAAAAAAAAAAATCAAGAGGCCAAATAAATTCTTAACAAGTAAACCAGTGATGTGATGTTTTGTTTCTGCTCTGGTCTCCAGATGTACTTGGGAATTTATATTAGGTAACATGACATTACTGAACATTTAGAAAATGATGAATAACTTAGTGGGACTTATCTTGTATAGACTTTGTTAAGCCTATTTTTAAATGCATTTTTACATGTGGACATGTCTTTCATCTTACATGATCTTTCCAATGAACCGTACCACTTCAGTGGCCAGATTATTTTCATTATCTGAAGCCATATCTCCATTTATGATACTGCAACAAAATGTTTTCTGTTTGAGTATAAGGAAGTTTCCTTTAAATATCTAAGTCAAGACCTAGTTGCCATCATCCTGGTGAATTTTCCAATAGTATGTTTGTTTCTTCCCAGATTCAAAGTAATGTCCAGGCCTGCAATGATTAATGATCCCAAAATAGAATTACTAAGGAGTGTCCCCTGGTTTATGACTGGCAAGAATTATATGCACAAATCAAAAATTTGGGAAATGTGATAACCTGAGTTGTGGAAACGTCAAAACAAGTTTCAGGCCTTCTATTATATATGACATTTCAGTATGTAAATAGTACACCTAAGTCAGAAAACTAATGTGGATAACCCTCACCTCACTGATGAACAAGCTACAGACCATGAAATGCCAGCAACTATATCCCAGAAGACTGTTTAAATAGTTCCAGACATCATCAAAAGGAAGAAATGCCAGGATTTGGGAAACATGTTTGTCCTGTACGTAAGCTCAGAGCCCATGAAAAAGAAGGTTAAAGACAAATCCTCTGAGGCTGATTATGCCACAAACTTAGAGGCATTTGGAACAGACTGTGAGAAAAGCAGATAAAAATATTCTGATTTCATGGGTTTTACAATCTAGTATACAGAAAGAAGTAAGATGTTTAGCAAAGAATTTTTGCTTTGGCCTATTGCTTGTATATTGTTGTTCTTCCTTTCTTCTCATCAAATCAATAAGATAAAATAGCCAGACAAAAAAGTAAAAATGACTACCCCATTTAACAAGTCATCACATAGGCAACAAGTAGACTAAATAACTATTCCCACTAAGGCTTCAGACTGCCCTAAAACTGACCTTGATGTCTACAAGCTTCAGACAAATGGTTTAGTAATTGAAAGCAATAAATTAGAGTCAATTGCATTTAGCTAGGAGATTCTGAAGTCTTAATGTGCTAAAATAAGCTGACATCTTCTGGCTTTGCATTTGGATTGCACTCTTCTGCTCTCTGTCTGGGTATGAGGTTAGGCTGAGATCTTCTGAACTTCGTGCTTCCAGAGATGTGTCTGAATTACAGTTTTCACTAGATCTTGTTTGTAGGATGTTCAGAGGGAGAGAATTTGTATTTGTAAATAATTTGCAAGTCAGAAATAAGAATTTTAAGGGACTAACCTTAAAAGTGAAGTTCTTATTGCGGTTAAAATGCCCAGTTTAATTCAAGGGGTGGGGCATAGGCATGTTGAGCATTACATTTCAAGCTGTTTTCAAGGACAGTTGAGGGATACTGAGCAATGCCGTTTTTCACTTGACTCTGTAGCTGCCTGGTATTCATTTCACCCTTCAGTAAGCTAATATCCTAAAAAGTGACTGCACACTAAAGACTGTAGAGTTTTCTGACTTTAGCACTGCTGGGAGGCAATCTTCAGTGCCTTCACCTGACTTACTCCCCTATTAAAGGAATTTAAGGGGTTTTTTTTGGTTTTGTTTATTAATTTATGTCTTTTTAAAGAAGTTACTGTCAGTAGTTTATTGAAGTTATAAATTATACCTATTATGTTTTTAATTTATGAAAATAACTTGTTTATTTAAAGTTAATTATTCTTACCAAAACCCTAATCATGTCAAAGCAGTAGGTTAAAATCATCACAAACCAGGGGCTGGGGATGTAATTCAGTGGCGTAAGTGACTGCCTGGCAAATGCAAGATCATGAGTTCAATTCCCAGTACCAAAAAAAATAAAAATTAAATAAATAAATAAAACATCTCAGAGCAGTATGGTGCCTATATTATGTCCAGATATTTCCCATGAACTTTGAGATAACTGAATTTAATTTTTTGATGGAACGGGATGATGACAATCTGGAGAACTCATTTGAAAATAAAACTGTCTTTGGAATATGGTTTTAAAATGCTACATATCTTCACAGATTTAGTTTAATAGCAGATATTTATCAAATGCTTAATGAGTGCTAAATCTTAAAACAGGAATGTGCAGCTCCAAAATGAATAACACAGCTAACCTCAAGATCTTCAACCTAGTGACATTTATCCTTAGAAAATAATGTTGGCTGGTTTACTATAAAGAACTTTGGTGTGTTTCACTAAGACCTAGCCAAAACCAATTTTAAAAGATTAGATCCCATTTTTAATCACAAACTATCGAATATCCACTTAGTGATTATTTAACAAATTCTAGGCTAAATGGAAAAATGCAGATCTCCATGTTTTAGAAAAAATTTTAGACATTTTGCATTTCCCAAGTTTTAGATAATAAAACTGATGGGAACCTAAAGATCTTCCTTTGTGAAGTCTGGTGGAAAAGGCTTTCTACTGCAGTCCACAGCAAAGTATGGGCTATAAAAAAGGGAACAAAAGAATTGCAGTACGAATTCTCATTGACTATGGATTATTAGTTTATCTTATATAACAACTGTGGGATTCATTCCCTGCTGTCACTGATATGTATTGCTCCTCACCATTACCAACTCTACAGACGTACATACTATGTATCAGTTTTCCAGATCAGGAAATTCGTGAAGTGGCCGTTCAGCAACTGGACAAACTCTTGAATGATGAACTATTGGAGTTTCTCCCACAGCTTGTTCAGGTAAGACCTCAGGGTTGCCAAGGGAGTCCCAGATTTTAACTAATGATTCTCTTTATGTTCCCAATGAATCAGCAACAGCCTGTTTAGAAGTGATATATTGGCCAGCCAGAGAACTAAATTATAGATTATATGTCAATGTGAACAATACAGACATTTCCTAGGGCAAAAAAGAAGACATACAAATCCCAAAAAGGAAAAAAAAAATAAAACTATCTACTTATTAATTATACCAGGAAAAAACAAGAGTTTGTGTCATAAAATCTTTCAATGGTTTTATATGTAAAACATTAGCCAAATAAAGGTTATGTAGAAGTAATTACTTGCTAGGTAGATCTCACAATTAAAGTTTCTTATCTTTCCCAGAGAGAATTCTAATGTTGCTTATAAATCTTATTAAAGTAGTTCTCATACCCAAATTCTGCTGCTCACTAGTACATTTTAATGACCCCAAATGTTATAATGTTAGGATAATTTTAGAAAAGAACATGAAGTTAATAGGAAATATGAGCAAGGACAGACATAGTCTGAATATGATGAAAGATTAGCAAATAATTGCACATATTAAAGGTGTGCATGTAAAAGACTGAAGACTCAAACTGTGATGATAATTCTTCTCTCTATGAAGAATTTTAAAATACTGATCATTGTGTTTTTTTTTCAAACTCAAATGTTTTCTTATATGAAAGATTTGAAGCTATTTCAAATTCCAGGTACCTCAGTTCTGGCCATTGATAGAAGACTGGGAATGATGAGGAAGAACCTCTTAATAAAATCTAAACCACGTTAGTTTGCACACACAACCTGAATTTCTTTGAAGTTTTTCAAAAGGAAAGGCGCAATGGTGTAGAACTAGTTATACCATAGAAAGTTCTGCTACTCCTTATAGTAAGAACTTCCTTCATCTGGAAAGAATAGCGTAATGAGGAACAAAATAATACAATTTGTAAGATCACTATGTGATGGCTTATAAGTATGAGCAGCACAGTAACTAACCCATCTCAGAAGAGTAAATTTTTAACAAAATACATTTACTCTCATTTGAAACCCCAGAGTTAATACATTTTGGCACAAAGAATAACTATGAGAGCCATATTCCTGCAAATTGAAATTTATAAGAAAGTGGACAAAACAACTTAGCAAATACACAGGAGGTAAAATTAAATAAAGCTCTAATTAAATTAACCAAAAGTGAGGTTTATAACATGTCCTATAATGGGAACAAATGTACAAGGTAACTAGAAAATAAATGAAAACTGGATAGGCTTTAATGATAGTTGTTGCAAAGTTTACAGTAAGACTGTCGTGCCTTATCGTGACCTTAAAGCTCTTTGATACATAAAAATCATACTCTGTTTATTATTTTCTGGAATCATATTATTTTGTTATGAATTATTGTATTAGAATGAAGCCGGCTATATTAAACCAGTAAGAAAGACATTTGAGACTATAATGAAAACAGAATATGTGGTTCAGAGCAAAGAATTAAATAAGACAAAATGTGAAGTTATTATACACCACAGGTTGTAACCATGCAGGTAGATTCCGAGGACATAGTTCACAATAATATGGTGTGCACACAAAAATTTATTGCATACTACATACTGAGGCAGGGTTTCAGAATAAAACAAGGAGTTTTAGGCAAAAAAGGCAATTCAAGAGCAATAGTTACTGGGTTCAGTAAGAAATAATGGGAAGAAATTGAAAAACAGTCATCATGGAAGTTAATTTTCAGACATCTCCTGTTCATATATCTTTGTTATATAGATGAACTAAGTTTTATTTATTACTTTTTAGCCCTAAATATAAATAGGGAAAAGAAACAAGACCACACAAACTCTAAATACATTATGTATATGTGGTATATTACTAATTAGACTCCAATTTAAAGCTAATAGATATGTTATTAAAATTGTATTGAAATCTGAGTGTCATTTTGCTTAATTTCTTCTCAAGCCTCTTTAGTTCTTCTGTATTCTTGTATAATTCTACCCCTGAAGAAAGCAGTGTGAAGTTATTGTGTGTGTTGCAGGCTGTCAAGTTTGAATGGAGCCTTCAGAGTCCTCTGGTGGAGCTTCTCCTGCGCCGCTCCTTGGAGAGCATTCAGGTGGCCCATCGTCTCTTCTGGTGAGTTCAGGGAGGACAGGGAAGAAGGCCTTTCTGGCTGCCAACTTCTGTGGAGAATTCTTTCCATCTTGTCATGGAAACAAACCCTAACTTAAAATCCAGTCACTTTTGAGCCTTTGTCAAAAGTATTTTTATCAACTTTCTTCATGATCAAAATCTTCCTCTTAGACCATTGCGAGGTCTAAACACCCAGTTAAATCCACTCATAATTTTCGTCTGATGCTGCTTTCCTAGAGCTTTAAATCACCAGCACTATGTGTGGCCATATTTATTTAATGAAGATTTCAATATAAAATCTAGTTGTAAGACTCAATGTTTTGAAAGAATTGCGTTTTTAAAGCACTTTATGTACAACACTAAGTATAAATGATAGAATCCAATTGCATATATATGTATGTGTATATATATATTCTGTTGAAAATATATATATATGTTCTGTTGAAAATTCCTAAAACACTAAACTATCCCCAAGCATGAACTTACAATATTAGTAGAGAAACAAGTTTTACTTAAGAAATATTAGAACTTGTCCCATTGTTACCTACTCTGGATCATATGAAACATGATGCTATTTGCATATTGTTTTATCATGGCACAAAATTTTCACAATTACATGTGTCATTGATCTAGGTCTTTCTATTGTTTCCATGGATATATGGAAGCCATCATTTACTTGTTTTGACTTCTAGTTTAGATGTTATTAGGAAAACAGCAAATCAGCATTATTTTAGAGTGGCATGTTTTTCTGATTCAAGACATGTTATTAATAATGTTATGACTCTTCCCTGAAAATAACTCAAGGATTTCACAGCAAACAGACAAAGAGACTTGTATTTGACTTGCGATCTGAAATGTCTACTTGACATTTGACTCATGATCTGAAATGTCTACTATAGGAAGCAGAGTATTTCCTCTAGTGTGGAACTATAAAAAAGGAGTGTGATACATTGGATGGGAATGGGCTTTACTGCACACTCTCGCCAAAGCTTTCAATAATTTTTACTCTCTACCGTTCCTCAGTCAGCTACCACAATGCTTGCAGAAAGTTAAATGAATGTACTTTGTGGTACTGTGTCTTATTTAAGCTAGGATGCAATTAAACTCAATACTTACTTTCTTAAAATTTAACTTTTGTATGCATTATTAAAATAAAGCATATTTAAATGTAGCATAATAATAAGTTTGATATTTGAGCCAAAATATAAAAGTGCATAAAGTATAAAAAAGATGATTTTTTAAAAAATACATTAAAAATTAAAATTCAATATGAAAGTCATACTTTAATTGATTAGTGATCATTATAACGCATGCCCCACATTAGTATATACTTGACCTGCTAAAATGGAATGAAAAATAGAGTCATTTGAAAGGTAACAGCGAGTGTAAAGCTGTACATCAGTGTCATATTTGCAGTTTCACATAAATACAATTATGCCAGTGTTTCCATGAGGTTGAGAGGGAAACATTTCTCACCCTTATGAAAAAGACCAGTAATAAATCCCTCTTATCTTTCCACTGGTTTAAAATGGAAGTAACACAAAAGAATACAAGTTATAACTGAATACTTGTTTTGAGGGTGAAGTCTACAAGTGCTTAAAAAAAAGAAAAAGAAAAATCAGGAGAGAGATTTTAAAATAAAAATTAGGAATTATATAATGCCTAAAATATAAAATAATACTATTTGTATTAAAACATACTATGGAGTAGAAATTTCTGAGACCTAGTATCAAGTTTAAGGGGAGTTTGGTACTGAATATTTGAGTTAAAACTTTTGTAACTCAATGAAAGTGTAGCCCTTTTGAAAAAGCAGTACCGTGGTTTTTCTAAAAGGCAGAAGAAACTCATCAGCCACTGATTTAATGAGTTTTTCACTTGGGCAAACTATAGCCTCTTCACAATCCATGTGTCTATTCAACACTGAATTCAGTCAGTATCTTGCTCTGCTCACCTAGCGCTTAGAGTGTCTTCACTAAGTTGAGAGTCATAAAGGGCTTTCTCTTTTACCCCCTAACATCCTCTAAGAACTCCCTCTACTCCACTGTTCCCACCTACCTCTACCACTGACTAATGGAGTGTTCCACCAAATATTGGATTAAGCATTTTGCATTACCTTCATATCCTTTCTTGGAGGAAAATTGACATGGGGTTACTTTGAGTCTGTTTCTTTGGAGGTTCAATAAAAGGTAGCTCCTATTTTTCAAGAAAAGAGTTAGCAAATAGCTTTGGATTTGTAAGTTAAAAAGCTTTAACCCAAGTTTGCACTATACAGAGTGATTTTACATGGAAACCATAACATTTTGGGTTCTTGGTTCAGAGATAAGATTAAAGAAGCTTAAACCCAGTGCCTCTTTCATTTTGGACCAGAAATAATGTAACAGGTAGTGGGGTAATGGACTGAATATCATCTCCCAAACAGTACATCCACATCCTAACCCAGAAAGCTACAAATTACGACATGATGGAAAAGAATCTTTGATGGTAAAATTGACATAAAGATTTTGAGTTGAGAGCACCCCAGAATATGACAGTGGGCCCTACATGCAGAGACAAGTAACCCCTCTAAGGCAGAAGTAAATGATGCCGTAGGAAGATGGGGAGATAGGGAAGTGGTTGCAGTAATGCAACCCCAAGCCTGTGAAAACCTGGAGTCAACCAAAGCTAGAAGCGACTCCCCCAGAGACCTGGAGGGTGCATGGACAGACCAACACTTCAGTTTCAGAATTCTGACCTGCAGAGTTACGAGAACAAATTTTTGTTGTGGAAACCATCAATTTGTGACAATTTGTGCCCCACACACAAAGGATTTTATGAATGGCCCTGCCTTAGACTGACCAGGGCCACTATCACTTTCCCATCACTGGGATATGATAGCCGTCACCCACAGCTTAAAGGATGACTGATTTATTTTAGCTCACAGTTTCAGACTACGGTCTGCAGACTCCAAGACAGAAATGGGGCAGAGCAAAAGGCTTCAATCCGTTGCAACCAGAAAGCAGAGAAAAAAGGAAAGAACGGAGGCCAAGAATATACCCTTCTAGGCCAGGCATCCAGTGGCATACCTCCCACCAGGCTCCATCTTCCAATCTCACATTGAGCTACTGCTGAACTCATCACTGGATGGATCTACTAAAGAGTACTGCACCCCCGTGATCCAGTCACCTTCCACACACTGGAGACATTTGGAGGACATTTTAGATCTAAACAACCAGGGTGTCCAATCATTCAGAAAGCTGTCTCTGACTCTCCCTAGCCACCCCTTTGATTGAAAACTACTCCTACATGGTACCCCGTGATGTACCACCTGTGTTCCCACCAGATACACATATACTTCTCTGCCCATCTAGTGGCCTACCGTGCATGTCCTTTTCTGACCCATACAGTAGCTAATAAGAAAGATTGTGCCATATCAATCCCACATTTTCAAAACTCATTAAATACTCCAAAAATGTTTTTAAACTTAGGAGGCCATGAAATTTCTTCAGTCCAGCAATATGTTCAACGTATCAGCAGTTTCATGGAATCTGAATTTATTATTTTGCCTGAGTCACAGCAAAACTCCAGTGCCACAGGCAGATACATTACCTGCCTGTTACATCCATCCCCAGCTTCTACACTGACTGCTAATTCATTCCTGCCCTTCGCAGAGATTGTCCTCTGGTGACCTTGCCAACCGACCTGAGAGCTGGGGAATCTCCAAGATTTACATTCCGGAGATTCACCATGGATGGGATCAAGGCTAGACTTAACCTAAGACTACCCAAAAGGGACTTTTTTAGTACATCATATGCACTGAAATTCCTGTCTCCTATGCTGTTCTAGGGAACTCTGAACCGAGATGCGGATTTCTTAATATAGATAATGAATTTAAATACAGTTATCCCTTGGTATCATCCAGGGATTTGTTCCAGATCCCTGTCTCCCAGGAGAGGCTAAAGTCTGTAGCTCCTCAAATTCCTTATCTAAAATGGTGTAGTTTGCACCTTTCCTGTACCTTCACCTCTCTAGATTACTTATAATACACAATATAATGTAAGCACTATGTAAATAATTGTTATAGTGCATTGTTTAGGAACAGTCACAAGGAAAAACATCTATACATGTTCCGTACAGACAAAACTTTTCAATATTTTCAATCTGCTGTTATTTCAATCCGAGGGTACTGTGAGAGACCCACAGGCACACAGGGTCAATGGTATGTGGGGTTTTTTGGTAACAATTGGAACATGTGGGATATGCTACAGGAAAAACCCCAGTGTCACAGATTTATTCTTCCACTTCCAAATGTGATTGAATGAACCAGTTTGAATCGAATCCTATATGTAAGGACCCATTCTAAAACACAGCTCCTTTATAAAAGTGTTCTCGAGGCATGTGATACAAAACTTGAAAGTGTGAAATGAAGCCCCCATGTAATATTTTTTTGTTTTATTTGCTAATATATCACAAGCACCTAGGACTGACTGTACTTGGCACTTTATATGTTTTCAGTAAATAGCCATTGAATGAATGAAGAAACAAGTTACCTGGGTTCAGTTATGCACATGCAGATCTGTGACAGGAGGGGGCGAAAGAGAGCCGCTTGAGCTCCCAAACAAGAGCTTGGCAGCATCAGAGTAATTTCAGGAAACTGTCCGAATGTGGAATAGGCAATGGACAGCGCGAGCACAGGCAAAACTGGAGAGCAGGCAAAATGTGAGAAGGCAGGACTCACCAAGTCAGGAGGGAGAGCCTGAGAATAAGCAGATGCAGTGCAGTCTGCAGGACTAGGGGGGAAACCCGAGAGGAAATTAGGGCAACCATGACGGGTGTCAGGGACCAGGAGGCGTTTAGGAGTTATCACGTGGTGTTAAAGAACATCCGAGCTTCGTTATGCTACCCATCACATTGAGATGATGCCCAATCTTGCCATTTTTTAAATGTAATCTTCCTTAAATCTTTGCTTAGTGGAATTTGGGGACAGCTGCTCGAAGTGGAGTCTGCTTTAGTTTTATTTTTTATTT